GCCGCTCGGCAGCGGGAGCCACATCAGCGCTGCGAGCGCGGGCTGAAAACCAACCGCTGGCTGACGCAACCCCAGCGACTGCAGCCTCATCCCTCCCACCAGCACGCACACCTTCCCATCCTGCTGTCCCAGCAGATGATGTAATTCTACTCCACGTTGCAGCACAAAATCCAGGGCTTTACAAGTTACAGCATTAACAACTGTTTTCTGTCTAGTCCCAGACTAGTCCAGACAGCCCTACCCACCGCACAGCCTGCCTGGCCATCTCCCACATGCAGCTCCCTTGACCCTGATTCTCTCTGTTCTCAGATGTTTGTAGTCTGACGCAGACAGCAGATGAAAGCGATCTGTAGCCAAACTTCTGAGAGCGGCTTTACTTCCTCAGGCACTTTACCTCCTTCAGGTGCTTTGTTCTCTCTACTGCAGCCCAAACACCTCCACAAGGGCAAGAGTGCTTCTCTCTTCGCTATCTCCTATAGCCCATTTGCATTCACTTTTAAATTAAGAGAATCCTAGAATCACTTAGGTTGGAAAGACCGTTAAGATCATTGAATCCAACTGTAAGCCTAAGGCCACTAACATCACATGCAACTTCTTTGAACCGTGCTTCCAAACAGAAAGCAACAGCTTCCCCTCAACCCTTGCAGATACTGAGGAGCTGCTTTTCTTTTCCAGATACTGAAATAGAGGAAGAATTAGTAAGAGAAAATTAACAGAAACTAAAGTGGTACTTTCATTTGCCACACAAAACCAGTAGTTTTTATGGAAGGATGCTTGTTAGTGGCAAGGAATCCTAGATTTGCTACCTGGTCAGCAGTTATTTACCTCAGTGTACAGCAAGCATAGTAGGAAGTGAGCAATGGAAAACTCTGCTTTGACATCGTTAAGGGCAGTGAACATCTTGAGTAATCTTAAAAAGAGTTTAATCTTCGAGAAAAAGCATGGAACTATCCTGACGGTATTAACAAGATGTAGGCAGACATGCTACAGTCCACCTTCAGTCCTAGACACAACTGCACAGAGATACACCTGTGTTTGTGGCAAAGACTTTTCCCCCCCCACCTAATTAAAAAAAAAAATAAAAATCACAGAGTATCTGCTTTAATCAACGTTACTCAGTGAGGAACATAAGGACACAGGTACATTTAACCAAGGACTAATCCTTACTAAGAAACCTCAAGAGAAGGTTAGTTAGCATCTTTCAAGTATTTCCCACCTCCTGACACCATCTCTCTACTCTTGCCTGGATCAAATCTGGCTACTTTCTTCTACCACCTGTTTTCAGCACTGAACAGCAAAACATCAGGTTCCACCAGCTGTTAAGGACAAAGATGACAGAACTAGCATTCCAGTTCTGTTCCAGCTTCCCTATAGCCATCAAATGAAGGCTGTACAAATTCCAAAGATCATTCAGGAAAAGCAATGGAGACTGATTAAAAATTTTGTAATAGAGTTAGTAGAGTGACAATAGTGCCACTAAATGACAAAATATAAATCAAGTAACCAGGCTACATGCTCATAACCAGGAGAAACTGTAGCCAGGGAAATGCAAGGACAGAATGAAAACAAATCAAAAATGTAGACTGAAGCCAGGACTCTTGTTTAATATTTCAGGAGAAAGACCGATTTCTATGTTTAGTACCTTGGGCATCCGCCTCTCTTCCATAACCTCTTACAGAAACTTCAGTTGCACGTTTTTGCCCTACAATACTTTTTTTAATTCATACCCTCCATATCCAAAGCACAGTTGTGGAACCTATTCAACAACTGCCTTCTGGCAACAGCTAAGCCAGCCAGCCAGCCAGCCAGCACTTCCTAAGAAAAACCAGGGAACGATCACCAACCGTGGGATTTATTTCTAAGCTCCTATCCTATTCCAAGAGCAGTATCACTCAAAACAGCATTCACCAGCACTCCAGCCTGATGGAACGGTGCATGCTCAGCTCAGCATCCCCTCCAGTTCCTTATTTTTAAGCCATTTTCCTTTACCTACCTTTACTTTTTTATTCTCTGCCCTCACAACATCTTCCCCTCTTCTTTTGGGGTTGGGGAGAAACAAGATGGCATTCAGTTTCTATAGAGGTTAAGCTGACACCCAAATCCTAATGGGGAAAATAGGAAAAATAAAACACATCAGAACAGCAGTCCGTCAGATGCCCAGATAAAGTACATGGGCAGGGCAAGAAAGGAATTAAAACTACCTGAGTATTCTCCCGGTCTCCAGCTTTGCATGGCTCTGGGGGTAATCAACTCCTCCACGCCACTCATGACTGTACAGACTTGTAGTGCACCCACCCTCTCATTCCTCCCTCTGCTATGATGCTCAAGTTGTCCCTAAACAATTCTAGCACCCAAAGTGCATCAGTTTTGCCACCCCTCCTGCTCAAAGTTGCAGTTCCCACCCCCCTCTGAAAATCAGCTTGGTCATGGTAATATTTTGGTCAAAGGCCAACTGACCCACCTATCTGTACAATCATGTGAGTACTAGCACAAGCAAGAGAGAATCATAGCAACCCCTTCAGCTATGCTGCCACTAATAAGTCAGTATAGGATGCTCTTACTCTCCTTATATCAAGGCTATTTCAGATCTACAATCATCTCTATTGCTTTTCCTCCGCCTCCCCAATTATCCTAAACTGAGTATAGTACATTACCCATGGGAAAGTCCAGAACTGCACAGAGGACTCAAGTCTGGACAAGGCAAGGATTTATACCGTGGCCTGACACGGTCTGTTATTCTGCACTGCATTCTTTACCTGGTAATTTCTATCAGTCTAATTGCTTTTTGACTTTCACTACACCTCGAACTGACTTTTCAGAATACCATCCACACTGACTCTCCAATGTTTTCTTCCCTAGATGCTGCAGAAAAACAAAAATACCATTGCTTTTGTATTCTTACTAATACAATGTGCAACAAGAACAACTGAAAATTTACTGAAGCTAGGCCTGAAAGATGCTCCCTGAATACACTCCTGATGACAGCCCTGGCAAAGAGTAGCTTAGAAGAACAAGGTAGTTACAGCAAACCACCAAACAAATCAGTAGAGCAATTAACACAAGTATTATTCACTGACACATGTACTTTCTAAAGTGATTAAATATAAATACTATAAACAGGAAAAAAAGAAAACTTTAACTCTTTCTAAATTGCTTCTCAGTGTCACCAAGAGCAAATCTCACAACAGAAAGAAGATAAACACTTCCAAGTAACGATCATTTTTTAGGGTACAGAGTTAGCACAGATACAAGCATTTATGGAAGCATTTTAGTTATTTTTCATTTAAAAAAAACAAAACTGTTCTTGACTTCGTAGTACAGAGACACCTGCTAAAGACTTTTGGAAAACTGTAAGCTTTGCTAATTAAGTCTCCTTTATCTACAGTTTTATCACTTCTTTCAGAGAGCTATCAGGTTTCTTAAAAAACACCCTCTGATCTGATCCTGGTTTATCTCCTGTGAAGAAACATGAAGTGAACAACACAGGCTTATCACCAAGAATCAGGTCAACACCTAGGTAATAACTTTTACGTGTCATGCAAGTGTCAGAAGGGTTTAAATATTTTCTATAGGCATGCAAAAATCTTGTGAGTAGACTCAAGAGACGAGCGAGGAAAAAGGAATCTCAAGAGGAGCAACAGCTCTGCTCTCATATTGTTCCGGAAGAATGAGGACAACGGAGCTCGTATCAACTAGTGCCTGCAGGGTGCGAACTGTAATTTCACATCGCCAAAAACTCCACGAGGTAACAACGCTCTGCAGCCGTCGAGGCGTGACCCGAAGGCTGCGGGTCTCTGGAAGCTTGCGAGAACCACAACAGGGAGCACGCAGACGCGACGCAGCGCTGCCGCGCTGTCCGCACCTCTACTCTTCAAAGGATTAGCTCGAGGGGTTTTTTTATTGTTTTTTTTTTTCCCTCCCCAGAGTCCTCATCCTGCCGCTGCCAGCCCTACCGACACCGGACCTGACCCTCCCGTCCCAGGAGGGGAACCGGCAGCGGCGGCTCCGACGCACGCGGAGCGGGGACGGGCGGCCCGGCCCGGCCCAGCGCCGGCCGCGCCTCGTCCC